AGGCAATAGGCAAGCTTATGAACAGCAAAAAGGTTTTTTTATGGAAGCATCAGTTTTCCATGTCTTGGCTGACATTTATATGCAATGTGTGAAAAATTTTGTTTTTTTTTCCTATGTTTCTCATAAAACCCATTTTTTGGAAGTGGTGGTATATTGATGATATCTGAAACATTCTGAAGATGAACTTAAAGCCCTGTTTTCCTTTATTTCAGAAAATTTCTCTACCTGCTGCTTATGATTAATAGAGAAGTCAACAATAGCATTCAATTTCTTGATCTCTTAACTTTAAGAAATGGTGATATACTTAAGAATTATCTTATCACAAACCAACTGGCAATCTACTAAGAATTCTTTATGGTTCTTTTTCATTTCCTTTGCATAAAACAGCTACTTTTTATTTTTACTTTAGACATGTGAAAAATATCTCATCTATTCCAGAATTTGAGGAAAATGAATGCATGCTACAAATTGTAGAAAATATTCCTTATTTTATAGGAAAACTTACTTAGAAAATAATAGACAATTTTTCTGGTAATTTCACAAAAAGTCAAGTTGTTAACAGTGCAAGAATCAAATATAAGCAAATTTATTTAAATATTTTCTTACTACCTGATCACCCCTATAGATCAATTCCATTTTCAAAGGATTTGATTGGTGACTTGCCTTTATCCCATCCTCATCCACCTGGAAGTCACTAAGATCAGATAAATTTGATGTCACCACAGCATATACTTCAGGTGTATATATTATCCCAGTCAGTAATAAAGATAAAAACACAGGTACTCAGTTCACTGGTTCAACATTTAGAAGACTATTCAATGAGAATTGCTGAACTTAAAAAAGACATCTATAAACTGTCTGTCAACCAGTGATCCCATGAAAATATATCTTTGGTTAAATATTTCTCCCATACTCTGTAACTGAGTAGGACATTATCCAAATCATTTTCAGACCCCAGCATAAAAACAGCCTGAAAGAGATGTACTTGAAATTGCCTCCAAATTGCATTGTGAGAGAGATCTTCCCTTCAACTTTTCATACATCTGAACTTTGAATCTGAGTACAGCAATCCTGCAAAAAGCACTAAAAGAAAACAAACTATAAATTCCTGCTTCAGCTGATGAAGCAGCCAGGTCTTCTGTGAAAATCCTATTTTTGCTTATGTTTAAATTTGGTTTCAGTATGACTGATCGAACTAGCTGTACTGCCATTAGGGGCTTAACAGGGCTTAGTGGAGCTGTGGTTTCAGTATACGAGAATATTTTATCTAATTAACTTCAGCTTAACCAGATGTTCCAGTTAATGCTTCATTCTGCATATTACAACATGCACTTTCTCCTGAATGAATGCTTTGAAATCATGCAATCTATCACAGTCATATCATCCTGCCAATACTCAGTATTAACAGTGAAAAATACTTTGCAGCACAAACTTTATTTTGCTGAATTATCTCTGTTTGTTACAAAGTTATGTAAATGTTGTCTCTGTTGGTAATAAAGTTAGTTTAAATGTCAAAGGACTTCTACAAAACCATGTGTGTTAGTGTTATTTGGCATGGAGAGACTTCATTATAACTTTGAGAATTTTAGAAGTAAATAGTATCTGTAAAGATTAGTTTTTTGAATGGATTGTAAATATGGCTTCAGATTCTGTTTTTCTTAAAATGTACTGATACAACATGCAACATTTTAAAAATATGCTCCCGCAGTTGCTTAACTGAAAGAAATTTCAGTAATATCACCGGATTGCATTGTATATGAACACTATTGCATTGTGTATTGTTTGCTGTAAGTTTTTTCAAATTTCCTTAATAACTCAGAATTCCCTAATCTCGGTGATTGAAAATCTTTATATTATTTCCTATACAGGGTATTTCAAAAACAAGAAGCATGATTTTACTTTCTCACAAAATTATTATTTGTTAAAATACAAAAACATGCCATATGTCACCCAATGGGCAAAAGATGAAAGTTTACTGTCACACATAATATGTGTGATATTATGAACATGATTTTTTCCCTCAAATTTCTCAAGAAAATTATTCACAAATGCATGGAAAACTGACGACCTTAGATCACAGTACTAGTAGAGTTAGTGCTTGAATTGTACCAGAGCCCAAGGGCTTCCTTCCGATACTTCTCAAATTTTGAAGTAGATCATAATTTAAGCCAAAATGTGCTGGAGCCCTAAATAAGTGGAGCTTTGGCATTTCTGTTTATAAAATTGAACAAAAATTTTAATTGAATAATTTTATTATCTTGTAATATTTTATTTTAGCAAAAAGGAAGGAATTTATGGAAGACTGGGAAAACAATACTAATTTCTGAATGCATGCCTCTTTACTTGGGAAATAAGCTTATCAGTGAAGAGCTAAGATGTTTAAAGAGTAAAAAGTATGTAACATCTGGTCAGGTTGATGCTGGAGTGATTTCACCAGAATAGGGAAACTGGCATCTAACTTATGACATATACAGGAGTACTGGACATGTGATTCCACACACTAATCGAGAACTTGAAATAAAAGCAGTAGCAAAAACTTTTAATGCATGTAGAGTAAAACCTTTTGGCATGCGAGTAGGGTTTTTTTTTTTTTTTTTTTTTTTTTTTTTTTCCCATTCCTTTTAAAAGTTTTAACTTTCTTCAAAAAGTTTGATATCTGTGGAAAAATAGACATGCATTCAGAAGTTAGAAGCAATTTTTAAGGTCTTGTATATTATTAAAATAAAAAGTTTGGAGATCAAAAGAATTTTCTGCCAAAATTATTATTCAGTTATGCTAAAGAAGTGCTGAGACCCTCTGGCTAAAATTAATTACAATTTATGGCAAAAACTTATAAGTATTGGAACCAGGCTGTGGTGGGCTGCAGCATAATTTAAGTTGTATATTTAGGGCTTTATTCAGCAATAGCTCTCTGAACGTAAGCTTCAAAACTTCTTATTTTTTGATTAACACCATAATTCCAGTTAGAGACCAAATAAAATGATCTGCTGTATTTTGTTATGTAACTTATTCGTAATATTACCAAAAAATGTATCCTTATCATTAACTTATTAATATGTTTATATGCTTTTCACATTTAATTTAATTTTAATTGTTCAATATTTATTAAATATTGCTATATTTATCTTTTATTTACCATTTGGAATAGCCTTCTATTGGACACTGGAATTTCTAATTTTAGAAAAAAAATGCAAATTCAATGCAAAAACATACTTTTATTAAATAATGCTTGGCATAGCTTTTTATCACAAAAAAATAATAGTTGTACAAAGTAATACCTGCTTCTCCTTTTTAAAACACCCTGTAATTGTTACAAGAATGTATTTAGAATTGATTATTTTATACCTATTGAAAATAGTATGCATAGAGATGTTATTCATAGTTATTCTTCATTTGTATTAGACATTTTTCACTTATATATTCTTATAGCGTATTGAAAGTGCATATTTAAATTATTAGTATTTGAAAATAGTGCACTGTTAAATTTTTAAGATAATAATATAAATTCAGCATATTTTATTTTGCTGTCAGTTATGCATTGGAAGTAGTTTGAATAATAATGAGGAAAGTGTTCACAATTACAGTGAAAGTATTTTAATACTGTAGTATGTTATTAGGGGATTAAATTATTATAGTCTTCTTTAGCAAAATAGACATGCATATATCATCTGTGACTATCAATCTTGAAAGGCACTTGTGGGTTTGTTTCTAGCAAATACTAGTTCAACAAACAATTAAATTTTGCGAAGTCTACTCTTTCCAAAATTCATATCTTTTCAGTAGCTGAATTTAATGCCATATAATCCTGTTGCCATTTCATTGAAATTATTTTAACTATGATTTATGTGTAACAGAAGTGTATTAGAGATCTTTAAAAATACCTGTGCACTCTTGTTAGTAGGATCTTTGGTTGTTTAAATTTCCAACAAAAATTTTATTTATATTATTCATATTGTTAAAGAAATTTAGGGAGAGGGCACATTCTTTTGTGATTTAATTTTTTGTTCCCAATAATTTGAAACTGATTTTGGTTAAATGAATAATTTCATGATTTGTAATTTTTAATGATCACAGATATTTGTATTTTCATTTTTAATGTACATACTGTGATTATTAAGAAAATTACTATAGAAAAAATAATGGTGCTACAAAATATTGTATTTCTTTTAAATTCTATATTGTACTGAGCCAAAATAAGGTTTTATAATCATGTTACTGGACAAGCTGAAATGTTATTGCAAACATAGAAGTTTGCGTATTCATTTGATACTTTATTGTAATGCAAATTGCAACCTAATTTTATTGTATATTGATTTAGCTGATATTTGCTTAATTTTGTTTTACTTAATTTTATTTTATATTTGCTTAACTACTGAGTACTTAATTTTTTTTTTTTTTTTTTTTTTGTTCAGGTGCTTATTAAATTTTGAGGTAATTCTGTTTTACGTAAAGTTAAAAAGATGCATTTTATGCACTAGGTATCATTGTAATACCTGTATTTTAGCAAGAAGAATCTTCATATGAGAATATTATTATAGATTATTAAATTTATTCAAATTTAAATGCAGCTAAAAATTTTATAGACAATATTAAGCAAAAATGAAAAAAAAATTAGTGATGCAAAATTTTTAAGATTCCATTGCTTTTAATTGTAAAAATATTTTTTATGTATGATTATTAGCCTCTAATAATTAGTACATTTTCATCAATAGAGTCTAGTGATAAAGTTTTTGTATGGGATAGATTAAAAAATTATTCATTTAATATGCTTGTTTATGTGTTATATCAAAGTGCTGTACTTTTTTCTTTTTTCTGAATAATTTTGCATTTTTTGTTATAAATTCTGCTTATAAAAACTTGTAATTTATTATTGTATTGGTTCTTTAATAATTGATTTGCATTTGTCTTTTCAAAATTGAATTTTTATCCTTTTTTATCTTTCATTTTTTGTAGCTTTGAGTTTTGAAAATTTTCATTACTTTAAGATCTTTTTATTTCAGTGTCTCTATCAAGATTATGAGGCTAAAGATATTAGCTGTTATTATTATCCCAGTGGGGTACGAACTGTTATTTATTTCAGCTTATAAATTTTTATTCCAGCTCTTCTATCTAACCCAATGTTATTCTAATGGGATATGAATTCATGTCTCTGTTATTAAACTACATAAATAATGACTCAGTTTACAAAACAAAGCTATGACTTATCTTAAATAAATAAATAAATAACTTAATAATAAGGATAATTATAATTAGTTTTAATAGTAATGCTAATTTATGTTATAGTTAAAATATTTTTCTGTTTAAATATAAACATGGTAATGAATAATAATCTTAATAATAGTAAAACACTGCATCCCCCCTATTCTAAAATCGGATTTTGTGTATTTAACTAGAAAACCTAAACAATTTTAATTTGCTACAAAAATGTATATTTAAAAAAATAAATAAATGCACTAATTATCTGCCTCTTAAAAAGTTCAGAATAGTGTAAGTAATTATAGTAGAATCAGACAACAAGAATCAGCATAATATTTGTAAGTTTTGCAGGACTAGTGGTTTAACTACAGAACCATTTTCTCAGCTGCCTAAGTGCAAATGCAAATCCATTTGCACTTGGACAGCTGGGGAAGATGGTTCTGTAGTCAAATCATCAAAACTAGTCCTGCAAAATTTGCAAATATTACACTGATTCTTGTTTGAATTCTCCAATAATCATTATTCAGCATGTTATTTTAACCTAAATTAGTGTAAGTAATATTCATTTCATATTTTAAACTTTCATATTGTACCAGGAAAAGTTTGCCCTTTTTTAAGATATTTGAAATGTTTGCTGCAAGGAATGAAATTGAGATTTGCTGTTGGTTTGGATGTAAATATATAGCCTTTTGCCTCTCATTTCTATTATATGCTTAATTAAGATCTATTTCTGATGGTAATTTATGATGTTTACTGAAAATTAATGTAAGAGTAATGTAAAAAATTATAAAATGTTAGTGAACACTTAGGTGTATTTAAAGTGGTAACAGTTCTATTGAGGAAATAAAAAAAGCTTTCAGAATTCTACCAGATGTCTAAAACTAGTATTACATTGTAATTCAATTTCTTGTACAAAGTAAAGGAAGTATTGGAATCACAAAAAATTTCAGGTGTCATATTTCAATGAAAATATCCATTTTGACCACTCTAAAAATCACTTGAATGATCTTTTTGCATTACATCTGTACATATAGACAGACTAAAGGACTGTTTTTGGCAAAATGTATTGTAAAATTAACAGATTCAGAAGAAATTTTTCTTGATATATATGTATGTATCTCACATAACTCAAGAACGAGTACCCATAGAATGCTGAAATTTTGTATATGGGAATGGTATAACATGTAGTTATGCACTTCCCTTTTTTTTTTTTTTTTTTTTTGTTGCAATCAGCTGCACCAGTTGTATATATACATTTTTGTATTTTAATATATCCACTCTGTTACCTGGCTCTGTGAGGTTAGTTTTTTTATTCTTATATGTTGGTAAATCATGCATTTTTTTTGCTTTAAAAGTGACTGAATTACATGGTTTTTATGTTCCGGTTAAGTTTTTTTATGCCTTTAGTTAACCTGCATGCAATAGTTATAGAATTATTTACAGTTTAAAAGTTAAAATGGCAAGTTACACCTAATGAATCACCATTTGTTTACATTTGAAACTCGATAGAATAGTGAATTAAGACATTTTTTGCACCTTCAGTGTTTTTTTTACCAAGTGGGGCCAAAATTAAAGTTTCACTTTTATGCACTGAAAAATCAGCCTTCCTGCCTGCTGGCTGAATTGCTTGTTTTTGCAACTTTTTTTAGTTTTGTTTGAAACTTTTTTTAGTTTTTGCATAGAAACTAATTTTAATTGTAAAAAAACTGTTTTAATTGTATTTGGTACTGTATTTTACAATTTTTAATGAAGATGTTTTGAGTTCTTATCTATTTTTGCTTTGCCATGAAGTGAGAATTGAATTAATTGAATATGAAATATATCTCTAATGAAATTTGAGGAAATAATGAAATGCAGCAAAAAATGTGTATAATTTAATAGGTTGTACTAGAAAGTCATGTGGCCATGTCAAATTTTTTTTTTTTTTTTTTTCCTCATTAAATTAAGTTTTCAATTTGTTTATATATGTGATTGCAGGATCACCTTGGATAATATCTATCAGAAATCTGTATTTGAATATTTTAATTATCAAAGATAGTGTATCAGATTTTAATAGGGAATAAGCACTCACTCGTTGCATTTTTAATGTAGTATTTATTTTGTTATAAATTTTACATAATCGGGCAATGTTTCGGGATAATTTAAAAAAAAAAATCTTTTATTCTTTATAATAAAATGAAAACAGTATACTGGCTACACTTTGGGTGTAAGTACAAATAGAGTATTACATTTTTATTTCTCGAAGAATTGAAGCATTTGCATCCAATACACGATATTTTGTTGCACTTTTGAGGCTTTCATACTTTTTTAAGATGGGGCTTTCAAGGTATTTTTTATAATGTTCCATTTATATTAATTTCCATTTCTGTTTTTAAAGTATTTAAAATCCTCTCAATTCAAAAGAGGAAGTTAAAAAAAATCAATAAAATGTGCTTTTAAATTTTGTCTTTACCATATATAATTGGTGGTTATAAAATAAGTATCTATATTTGGAGGAGCTGTCTGTAGCTTGTAGAAATAATCTAAATGAATCCAAAATTGGTACACTTGTGCTAATCAAGAAGGGGAAACAAGAATGGAATACTAGAAAAACTTAGTTACAACAATCAGCGATGTATGGCGCTACCAATGCAAACATCGTTCTAATCATCAGAAAAATCAAGATGCCGTTAATTTCTGCCAGTAACGTATTACGAGATGCCGCTTAGTTTGCCAGATTGCACTTTGATTTTAAAATTATTCTATGTTAACAGTTCAAATATTGCAGCTATTTATGTGAATTTAGGCTTGTGAAAGGAATGTGTAAAGGAAAAGGTACTTTGACACCATGTTCAGTGTGAAGAATGGCAAAAACATTCGAGCAGACTGGATTGTTTGCCGTTAAATGTGGAAAGGGGACAAAACCAGTACCTCTGCTTATTTAAGAAAAAATTGCCACTGCACTTATGGAGTAATCAAGGACTCCAGAAGCAGTTCCTAGTGCACATGGAGTTGTTTAAGAGTTGGATACTCCATGTGTTTCTGTTTGAAAAATCCTGACAAAGGTAATCCAGTTTTATCTGTATAAAAGTAGTTATCATCAGCAGTTGTTACCAGGTGACATGCAGCAGAAATTGGATTTTGCTCTAATGTTTGTAGCACGAATGGATGTGAATGATGCCTTCCCATGGAAGATTTTATGATGGGGAGATGAAGCCAACTTTTATTTGAATGGGACAGTCAATATGCAGAACTGTGGAATACTGGTTTTGGAGCTACCAAATATTTTTCAAGAAAAACCCCTCCACTCTGAAAACTTTATGTGTGGTGTGTCTTTACGGCAAGTTTCATTCTTGGTCCTTATTTTTTTAGGAGTTACGGCCAGCAGGACCTGGAACTTGTTCGATTACTGTACAACGATACCTGCAGATGTTGCAAACATTTCATAGTTCTTCAATTGCAGCAAAAACAGTGTGTTACTGAAATGGTTTTTATGCAAAGTGGAACCCTACCCCATATTAAAGGAGCAGTACAACAGCTCAATGACAACATTTCACTGTTATTTTCATATGGCATGACCTTCTCCATTCCCTAATCTGACACCATGTGATTTTTGGTTTTGTGAGTACTTAAAATTTAATGTGTACCATGGAGGTGTTGCAGACTTGAATGACCTAAAAGATAGCAAAAAACAACTTGTGCGAAACATCACTCCCAATTCATTACATTCCGCAGTTGGGAATGTCATGCACTGCCTGGATTGTGTCCTCCAGCTCAGTAGCTATGTGGAGCCTGAATTTGGATCGGCACCATCATGCGCAAGCATAATAACATTATCTGTAGCATTTTTCAATAAATTAGGTATGCCATCCGGTTTCACGATTTTATTCTTTGTTTTTCTATTACACATCATACATTCAAAAGCGCCATCTGTTGGTGACTGTTGCAACTAATTTTTTTTATTATTCCATTCAAACCCTTCTCGATTAGTAAGTGTACCGATTTTGGTTTCATTTGGATTATTCCTTCAAGATACAGACAGTTCCAGGTAGAGATATTTATTTTACAACCATCTGGTATTTGAATGCGAGCCGATTGACATCCAAGCCAAAAGGTAAGATTTTCTGCAGAATTGAACCAACTTTGAAAACCTGTAAATAAGCTGAATTTCAGTTATATTTCAGCAAAAATGTTAATAATTAATAACTGAGCTAGAGCCAGGCTAGTTCATTGAGCTTTCTTTCTTGAAACAGGAAGTGTTGAGTGATGACATAGTCATGCTGACACTGACCAGAGAGATGCAATTCGCAAAGAAATTAACATTTAAATATGAAAAAGTGGAAAATAGCTATTATGCATTTTACAATAAACACTTAAAAGTTAATCGTATTTGGTCATTAATTTAAAAATAATAGATGAAATATGTTACTCTTTTAACATAAAGTTTTGTTCTCTTAGAAGTTGCAGATCTCCCCCTCCTGTGCATTTATTTTTAGTTTTATTTTCATCTGCATATAATTGGGGTAAATGTATTACTTTTTCTAGGATAACTATAACAACTTTTTAAAGTTAGAGAGATAAGTAACCTTCGGTTTTGCAATTTTGAGCATGTAGTGCAATTTTTTTTTTCTTGCAGTTAAAGAAGAATTTATGTTTGATTGCTCTTGAAATAGAGTTTATTTCAAAATTTAATTTAAGATTTTTTTTGTTTCACCTAGTTCTAAATTTTACACTGGTGTCGTTCTTTTCTGATTCGATATGATGACAGATATGTTTATAATAATTTTCTAACTTATACTCACATCTATATAGGTTACATTACATTTAAGTAAATAAAATATTCAAGACTGTTGTCTTATTTGACAAAACTTTACTCAAAGTA